TTTTGTATTTTGCATTTTACAATATTTTATAACTCAGTAAAAAAAAAATTAAACTTGAGGTTGCAGAATACGAGAAAGAGGGAAGGGAGAGAGACCAGGTTGTTCAATGGCCCTCGATTCGGGTTCTTAATCTGGGAATAAAATTCACGAATGAAAAGAATAACCTTGTCCGGAGATACTAAGGTAGCTCAGTTGCTCATGGCGCCAGGGAAGATGAAGCTCCAATTAGACTTCTACTGGTCACAACAATTTTAAAACCTCTTCCCCTCCCCATGCTAGCAATTAAAAAAAAATTAACTCCACAAGGATTGCATTGCAAATCTTATGGCCCCACTGCTGGCTAGGAGACGCTTAAATGGATTAAGAGAGGTTGTGTGTCGTGCAAACCCCCTAACCCAATTAATTAGTCCGGACCACGGACTCTGAGGGGGTGATCTTGAGCCCCCAAGAGTCACAATAATTGGCCCACAGGATGGTCACCACCAGTTTCTTCACTAGGACAATTCCTCAAGGGAAGAGGAGCCGCAATTGTCCTGTAGGCAGCAGATAAAATATATCTAGTGGTCCAAGAAGGTTGCAGAATATGTTAATATTGAGAGGACAAAAGCTGTGCATGATCAGGCTGTTCTTTGGGTTCCACGGTGGCCATCTCGTTCCATGTTTCTTCTTGGGAAGCTTCTGTTATCCATATCCACGTTATCCAATCCTGGGGTGTATAAACAAGAGGCATAGAATCAAGATCATGTGAAGTATTAGTACCGCTTTATAAAACCCCTAGTAAGGTCACACCTGGAATAGTGCAACCAATTTTGGTCACCGCATTACAAAAAAGATGTTGAGACTTTGGAACAAGTGCAGAGAAGAGCAACTCAGCGGATTAAAGGCCTGGAGACTAAAACGTAGGAAGAACGGCTGCAGGATTTGGGTCTGGCTAGTCTGAAGAAAAGAAGAATTAAGGGGTGACAAGATAGCAGCATTCCAGTATTTGAGGGGCTGCCACAAAGAAGAGGGGGTCAGTTTATTTTCCAAAGCACCAGAAGGTGCTTTATCAGGATCTTTAAATATCAGGTCATGCTTGCAGAGAGTAAAATTCCCTTCCATCCCCCACCACTTAATTAGAACCGAAGAAGCTTCTTGGATGAGACGTGAAATGTCTTAAAGAAAACCCAAGAAGTTCAGTTGCCTTTGGGGCACTTCCTGGAAGCCCATGGTCTTGATAAGGCAGAGATCGTTCTTCCTGTGCAGTAAGCTCGGTCAGAAGAGCGCAAAGAGCGTTTTGGAGGGGGAAATAGTTGGAAGGAAGACCCCTCTGGGCCTGAAATACATTCATGTAAGGTCAGGGGGTGAGGATTCAGTCGGTTCAGACCGGTTTGGGCGAACTAGATGTTAAATTTACACCTGGTTTCGCCCAACCGGTAGTTGAACCGACTGGCTTGGCCTTGCCCACCTCACCCCTCCCCTCCCCAGAGTCTCCACGTGGCTCGTTTTGGATGCAGGTAAGTGCAGGGTCCCCGCGGAGGCTCTGGGAGGGAGGGGGAAATGGGCCTTCTGGAAGTCCGGAAACAGGCCCGGGAGGCTGTTTTCGCCCTCCCAGAGCCCCAAGGGAAGCCTCCGGACTCTGGGGAAGGCAAAAAACGCCCCCCCCTCCCCGGAAGCTCCGGTAGGCCACGCCCACCATGGCCACACCCACCCAGCACTCGGGCAGTGAACCGGTTGCTGGGAACTCCCATGGAGGGCTATTAAACAACCATAAAAATATACACGGGAGAAAATATTACCCCTGTGAGACGGGAGGCAAGGAAGGTTGCTTCCCCACCGGGTTGGGGGAGAATAAATGCAATTATCTTGGCAAGCCAAGTTGAGTCCGGTGTAAAACAAGCCAGAATCACTCTCTTGATTTATGGCTGCTGAAATCTCTGAACTCGTGGTGCTTGGAGTAATTTTCAACCTGTTGCTTTTACGTCCTTTTAAGACGAGTTTCTCTTCCAGCCCGTCACCCTTGGGCTGGTTTATTTTTAATTTTGTGTAGGTGTGTGTGTGTGTGTGTGTCAGGGCTGTGGGCCATTTCAGTTGGGGCTTCCCTTCCTTTGTTTAACCTCTGACCCGCGAAAGCAGCCGTTAATCAAAAGCTCTGGAGGAGCCAAAGGGAAGAGGAAGTGCTTGGTTTACCAATGAAACAGGAGAAAAACATGCCCCCCGTCAATCCCCAGGTGGGCTGCCAGTTTCTCGGTCCATCGGCTCCAGGCAGAGGAGGGTGTGAGGCTGCTGCCTCGCATCCCCTCCCTGCGTTTTGAAAAGGGAGGCTCGCAAATAAAACAGAGAAGGCAGAGATTCCCAGAGAGGAATGCTCCTCCCCCCCCGTTTGGCTTGTTTCTGCTCCGCTGGTAGAACTCAAATAGAAGAACTTAGAAGAAGAAGAAGGAAGGAAGGAAGGAAGGAAGGAAAGAAGGCAAAGAAGGGATGGGAGAAAGAAGGGTGGGGGAGGGAGGAAGGATGGATGGATGGATGGAAGGAAGGAAGGAAGGCAGAGGGAATGGATGGAAGGAATGGAGGCAAAGAAGGGATAAAAGGGAGGGGGAGGGAGGGAGGATGGAAAGAAGGCAGAGGGAATGGAAGGAAGGAAAGAAGGAGGC